GGTCCAGACAGGTGACTTTCATCACTGCTAAGACTTCAGGTAGCAGCCCATTTAGGAAATGTTGGCTAAAAGCGCTCTCCCAATGCCTCATCACGTCATCAAGGCTTGACGGCTCGTCTACTCCAGAGTACTCATTATGCACAGCTAGCAGCCGAGAGAAGTAATCTTCTGATGTTTCAGTCTTTAGTTGTACACAGGCCTTTCTTGGAAAAGCTCGGTTGATGGTGGCACACAGCTTGTCCAATGCAGCTCAATAGTGGTTGTTTGCTGCATCATCAAAGGTTGGATGTATGACATGGTATTCACCTACCAGGTTGCCTTTAACCTTGTCAAAGTTAGTTCGGCCCATGTGAAAGAGTAGCAGTCTTCTCAGTTCAGGCCAGGTGGGTTGTACTTCCATGCAGAAGGTTTTAAAGGCAGCGCAGAACTTTTCCCCACCTTCCACAACGTTCGGTAGCTGCTGCGTGTATGCCTTCATGTCCTCATTTGTCCAGGGACGGAACACCAGTGCTGGATCTGCTTGTCCTGCGACCTCTATCATCGGCAGAGTCAGTTCACTGGTCTTCTGAGTGATGTCTGCTAGCTGTGATTCCAGAGCCTCTTTTTCCTCCTGCAGCTTAGCCAGTTTCTTTGCAGTCTTCAGTGCCACAGCATCTGAGCTGTGGTACCCTGTCTTTGACCGAGAGGTGGGGAGGCGGGGGGGCTTTTGCTACATCTTGCTTTTCCTGTCTTTTCCTGAGTTCCATCTTTGTAGCAGCTGGTTTAGTCACGTGTCTTGGCTTTGGCTATAGCAGTTCTTGCTTCACTGGGTCGGTGCTCACAGGAGGTGGTGTCTGAGGACGGTTATCAGCAGCTTTGTCGTCATCAGATTGTGTTTGCAGCACCTTTTCCTCGTCATCAGGGTCATCAGATGATTCGTCGTCAGGGTCATCACTGTCGGAGCCGGGTCGGGTCGACGGTGGGGGTCGGCGACCAGGAGCCAGGGTGTCCTTATATTGATTTCCCAGCCCATGCAGAGAGGGATAAATGGAGGCAAACACACATTTAGAAGTTTTAACAACAGCTTTTCATCATTTTTTTCATCCTTCACAGGAGGCTTTCTTTTTACCTTTTCATTTTCATTGGGAGGAGAGCCCCTTTTTAACACACACATCTCTGAGCTCATCGTTTTATTTTCTCTCCTTAAAGCCTCCTCCTCCCATGCCAACAAACATTTTTTATGACTTTCTATTTCATTTAAATCAGAGACCTTTATCATTTTTCTCGATTAAAGCTTTGATTCATGTTCCATTAAATGGTCCCGGAGGCGGTTGAGCTGTCTGGGACTGAAACTCCCACCGTCTGGGAACCCGAGTTTTTCAGACCATACCCGCAAACATGACACGGCCTCCTCGCCGTATTTGTTTACCGTTGCTTGCGTGCACGGCCCGTCTGGCGCATACATTGGTTGAGCAACAGATCCAGTCTGACACATTACCATAACTCATGCCCCAATGCACTACTTAAACAACTTCCTAAAAATGGAAATCGGGCGGCCGCCTTTAACTGACTTTTAGCCTACAATTTGTTTCRCTGAACAGAAATGGAAAATTATATTTTCGCTCAGCAGTTAGCCTGGCTAACTACCTACACTCACCAGGTTGAAACAAAATCTCCTCCTGGCTACCTCAAAACAGAAAAGTCAACCTCCCTGTTTTAAAAACTCGATCTGGAATAAAAACGCTCCCAGGATCTACCTCAGCTAAGAGTCACATGCAACCGCTGAAAGCAAACCAGACAGGCATCTAACAATCAGATTTTTTAGAGTGTGGTGGACCTAAGATAGCCGTAGCTTTTTTTTTTCCTAAAATGTAATGAAAATATTAGCTCACCGTGTTTCTGTCACAGACAGGTTCTTTCCAGCTCCAGTCCCAAAGTCACCCACAGCGGCTGAATCTAAGGACAAATCCCAGCCTGGACACGTTCAGTAGAGGGAAAAAAACTTTAAAAAAACTTCTTCCTCTTGTCCAGCGTTCGTCCGAACCCCCGGCCATAGCGGGTAGCTCCGGTCCTTGGAGCCGCCTTTCAGACAACGCCAATAATCTGTCGTGGCAAATTTATCAAGAATGCAGAAACACGTTGGAATAAAGGCACAGAAAGTCTGCGTGTATGGTTGTCAAATGATTTAATTCTTGAGCAACAAACACACAGAAGTCAATCAGGAAGTCTGTCGGTTTTGTGGCTGCCTCGTCAGCGGAAACCACCAATAATATAACATGTTAACACCATGTGACAAATTACAACCAATCACAATCCGACAAATATAACTGCCTAGCCAATAACGGGGCTCTCAGCCCAAAGAGTTAACTTATCAACCAAGAGAGGTCAATCCGTTGCTGGAGTCCTGACGTCTGGGGCAAATGGATTAAGAGCCTAAATAAGTTATCATAAGAAATACTGTATGAGTGCTGGACAGTGTCAAGGTGAAACAGATAAAAATAATTAGTCCATGACAATAAGCAAACCGAAAGGCTGACAAGGCAGCTCAAAACTTACAGAATCCTCTCTGGGGAAACACGGAATACAGAACACACTACACTGACTGGTAACAGCACAATGATCGGACGAGGCACAGAGGACAGAACACAGAATATAAAGAGAAACTAATTAAAGACAATAAGAAACACCTGGAGGAGTCACAAGAGGAAACAGGTGAGATTGGGCGGYGCTGGAGCAGGGCAGGGAAARACAGGGGAACACTGAAACACTAGAAAACTAAAGCAAAAACACACCGATCATCACAGTCTGTACACTACGTGTGGAACTGCCTGTTGTCTTCACCATCATCTGGAAGGTCAGCTACAGATCCTCCTGGCCAGAAACAAGATTCCTGCCAGCAGAATATATGATGTGATGTGTGGAAGGTAGGGTTGAGATGCAGATGTCCAATCGCACCATGTCCTCTGCTGAGGTTGTCAGGAGCTGAACKCACTCTGCTGCGTCTCCCATGTGACCGGTCTGATGCTCCATCACACAGCTTCCCTGTCCCGTCAACTAGAAGATGCTGTAAATGTTCTGTTGGAGCCCATTGACTGTGTCAAAAACTCTAGCTGSARAACATAAAGATAAAATGTCACACTGCAACAAAGCAAGAGCTGYGAAATACTAATACACAGGCTTGTCATGTTGCTGAAATAAACTTTATCTAACATTACACAATGCTAATCTGCAGCTACCGTGTTATGTTAGCTTGCTAGCTATTTWTAACTTATAGAAAGTGTGCAACATAATTTACATGTAATGTTATGACAAAATACATAAAGATTTGAGGAGCACTTGTGTAGAAAAATATATTGTTGATGGTTCCTTCTTTCCTGTGACTGCAGCATAGTTTCACTCAGATCTGTTCGTCTATGGCTCGCCCCAKACTCGTCCTGTTTACCAGCATGCGCGCTCCCGACTAAGAGCCGTGCTGTGTGGGAGGAGCTTAGGAAGGTGGGCTAAAGCTTAACGGGGGAGGGACCTGAAGTTTGTATCTCTACAAATTTTTTCTAAGTCCAGGGTTTTCTAGAAACTACATTCAGCAGCTTAAGGAAAGCTTCTGATAAAGTTGATCTAAAATCTAAGTCTGAAAATGAAGTGAAATTAAATATCTGACAGTGATCATTACACAGCGTGGCTAAAATTCTTCACTTCACCATCTGTGTCGCAGCGTCCTGTCTCCAAAATGAGCGTACGCATGGGTCAGAGCTGGCTGAGCGACCGCACATTTTCACGCCAACTTTGAGTTTTATAAATCGGAACCTTCTTGTGAAAATGGTGAATGCAAGTTTCTGGCCCTGTTTTGTGCGACGCAAGCTTTATAAATGCCACCCCTGGTTCTAAGTGAACTCTGGCTCCAGTTTAGCTCTAAATCCTGTTTGGTTATAAAAACAATTGTGACCTGAGCAGTCCAACAAGAGATGTATGTGTGAATATAAAGCTACAGTTCTCCTTTAATGTTCTTTTCATGTGTTTCAGTGGTTCCTGAAGGTTTTCAGCTGCTGATTAAAGAAGAAGCTCCTGAAGAACAGAAGCCTGATGTGGACCAGCAGGACCAAGAACACCACATAAAAGAGGAAGAGGAGGAACTGGGGACCAGTCTGGGAGCAGAGC